AACAAGTGGGATGCTATCACAAGAAACTGATTCCAGAAGAGAGAAGGGATTTTTAGTCAGAAAAATTCTCTTTGAAAAAAGATTTACCCTCACTCCTCCCCAAATGAGGTATGAAAGTTCACACTCCAGCAAAAACAAGACACTTGATATTCCTGATGTTTTTAAAGCCTTTCTGGTTTCGATTTACCTTAGAAACAAAACCCTTCAGGCCATCTTTTTTGTGTCATGATGAAGCAAGAAAAGAGATTTTGATAAAGACCCAGTGCCCTTTGCATCCCAATAATGCCATAAAACAATAAACAAGAGCGATTAGCGAAACCTTGTGTAAGGAGAATTACAAAGGTAGTTCAACCAGGAACTAGTGGCATATTAACACCAAGAATACATTTCCAACAGAATAAGACATTCACAGAATCCAGAGAACACTGGATTACAAAGGTTTCTCAAACTTTTAGAAGTTTTTGAGATTTAAAAAACACTTTTGTGCACCTCCCCCCATCCCATATCAAGACCAAACAGATCAGTATAACATGAACTATATGGAAGGAGCACAATGTGCTTTTCCTTATGTGGACTATGAGTGTAAGCAGCATATTGCAATTAATGGAAATTCTGTATTTAGAGGATTGTACACTGCAAGCTTTCATTACTGAACCATGTTTCTGCACATTCTTCTGTGTTATAGAAATATTTTCACATAACAGCCTATTCTTCTCCTGCCTTTTTGAGTCCTAGCAACATTCTCCAACTTTCTTTTTACCAAAGCAGTTTCAGAAGAAACTAATGGCTGACAAAAATTCACAAGTATTTTAAATGCTCATGTATCTGGGGAGATAATTCTGTGAAGAGCAGCATTCAACACCCAGGTAGGTGATTTGTACATTTAGTCACAGTAACAATCAGAATTTTATGCACCTTAATGGATTATCATTAGACAGTTATGCCAGATGTGCTGTATCATGATGAAATTGGAACAGAACCCAAATCTGTTTATGACAAAGGAACATCTATGTTTATTGTACAGATTTTGTTTTTAAATCCTTAACTAATTTTTCTTCATCCTCCAGTTAACATAGAGGACCATCAGTGAGAGACAAATTGTGAGATTTAAAATATCCTATGTAAATTACTAGCAAAACATTCCCAAAAATACAGAAAAATTCACAAGTGTGACTTTCCATCACGTTATTCATTGAATTAACAGAATAACTATATCAGAGAAACAACTTAGGCCCCAAATGAGATTTTGCAAAAACAGGATTTGACAAAACCCAACATCCACAGATGTTGCTTTCCTAACTTTTAAAACATTTCAATGAATTCAGGCCTTTAGGCTTAAACATGTCCCACCAGAATTAGGAGACACCCAGGGGATGGTGATTGGCAGGGGGTGAGTATCATGCCACCCCTGGGAGTGTCCCAACCCCCCTCCTCAGCCTCCTCCTCTTCCCCGGGATACCCCAGCCCACTGTACCGGCTCCCCCAACCCGGGGAGTTACACCCCTTATCCCTCACCAAGACCCCCCTTCCCAGAGTTACCGCCCACAGCCCTGCACCGAGCCAGCGCCCCGGTGCCGCCCCACCCCGCGAGCACCCCCGACTCTGCCCGACACGCCGCCCGCCCCTCCCCGGCCCCTTCGCCCAGAGGATACGAAATACACGGAGAGAAAGATCAGAGCGCAGCAATCAATGAGCGAGAAGATGAATACGACGGACTCCATGCCTCCAGCGCCGCCCTGCCTCCGGGCCACCGTACACTGCCGTTTCCGGCTCCCTTCCTCCTACCCCGCCCACCGTCTCCAGCTATAGTGCCCGCTCACCCCGCGGCATGCTGGGAAGTGTAGTCTTCACTTCCCTCCTTAGGTCTGCAAAGGCTGCTGAGAGCAGTGAGGTGGTGGCCCGCTGGGAAGGGAGGCTTGGACCCATCCTTTGGGATGAAGCTGGGAAAAATCCCCTACTTGATATATATTAAAAACAATGAGAAATCCTTGTGGTAGCTGAGAGGCTAACAAATTTATTTGGGCATAAGCTTTCGTGGGCTATAACCCACTTCATCAGATACATGGAGTGAAAAATACAGTCGGCAGGTATAAATATACAGCATATGAAAAGATGGGAGTTGCCATAACAAGTGGGGGGTCAGTGCTAACGAGGCCAATTCAGTCAGGGTGGATGTGGCCCATTCCCAAAAGTTAACAAGAAAGGGTGAATATCAACAGAGGGAAAATTACTTTTTTTAGTTACCCAGCCACTCCCAGGCTTTATTCAGGCTAATTTGATGGTGTCAAGTTTGCAAATTAATTCCAGTTCTGCAGTTTCTCATTGAAGTTTGTTTCTGAAGTTTTTTTGTTAAAGAATGGCCACTTTTAAGTCTAGTATCAGGGGGGTAGCCGTGTTAGTCTGTATCTACAAAAACAACAAGGAGTCTGGTGGCACCTTAAAGACTAACAGATTTATTTGGGCATAAGCTTTCGTGAGTGAGTGTCCAGGGAGATTGAAGTGCTCTCCTACTGGTTTTTTAATGTTACAATTCTTGATGTCTGATTTGTGTCCATTTATTCTTTTGTGTAGAGACTGTTTGGTTTGGTCAATGTACATGGCAGAGGGGCAATCCTGGCACATGATGGTATATATTACATTGGTAGATGTGCAGGTGAACAAGCCCCGGCTGATGTGGTTAGGTCCTATGATGGTGTCCATTGAATGGATATGCAGACAGAGTTGGCAACGGGGTTTGTTCCTAGGTTAGTGTTTCTGTTGTGTGGTGTGTAGTTGCTGGTGAGTATTTGCTTCAGGTTGGGGGGCTGTTTGTAAGCGAGGACTGGCCTGTCTCCCAAGGTTAGGGTTACCATATTTGAACATTAAAAAAAGAGGACACTCCACCGGGGGGGGCTCACCGCTGGCTTGCTGCGTCCCTCCTCAGTCCACCACCCACCACTTGCCTCCTCCCTCTCACCTCCTCCCTCTCCTGCCAGAAACCCCCATGTCCGCGCCGAGAACTCCCGCCTGCTGCTGGCTCGCCGCTTGCCTCCTCATCTCCGCCCGCCCACCCACCGCTGGCTCCCTTGCCGCTCGTCTCTTCAACCCCTGCTGCCCGCCGCTGGCCTTTTCACCCATCCCCCTGCCTGCCGCTGGCTCACCACCCACCTCCTCCCCTCCCTGCCCACCGCCTGCCTCCTCACCCTCCCGCCCGCTGCTGGCTCCCTCGCCGCTCGTCTCTTCACCGCCCCCCGCCGGCTTGCCGCTCGCCTCTTCACCCTCCCTGCCCACCTCCTCACCCGCCCACCTGCCCGCCAGCCACTGGCTCTCTCGCTGCTTGCCTCTTCACCACCACCCTCCGCTCGCCTACTCACCCCCGCACCTGCTGTTGGCTCACTGCTCGCCTCTTCACCCGCCCCGCTCACCTAGTCACACACACCCCCCGCCGCAGGTCCCTTGGCTCCTAGGATCAGGGGCAGCCGAGGGGTCTCCACGTGCTGTGCCCGCCACAAGCATGAACTCCATGGCTCCCATTGGCCGGGAAAAACGCCAATGGGAGCTGCTGGAGCCACGGAGCGGGGCTTGCAGGCGCAGGCAGCGCACAGAGAGCCCTCCGCCCCTCCCCCCCAACCCGACCCTAGGAGCCAGAGGGACCTGCCAGATGCTTCCTGGGAGCCGGCCCAGATAAGCACTGCCAGGACTCCCCACCTCGCCCCCCGGCAGGTCCCTCTGTCTCTTAGGGTTGGGGGAGGAGGGGCGGAAGGCTGTCTGTGCGCTGCCGGCGCCTGCAACCCCTGCTCCACAGCTCCGATCTAGGGTTACCATACCTCCGTATTTTCCCAGACGTTTTTAGATATTTAAAAATTTCTCCCGGATGGCGATTTAAAAACTAAAAAGCCAGACATGTCCAGGAAAATACGGACATATGGTAACCCTACCCAAGGTCTGTGAAAGTGTCACACTCTGTATGGCATTGCTGGAAGGGGCTGGGATACTGTGCTGATGAGGACAGGATAGGAACCTTACACAGAATAGAATCCCAGTAGCACATCTCTCCCAGACCCCCACGCAAGAATCCTGGACCCCAGTCCAAACCCACCCACTTCCTTCCCCCGGAGAAAGCACAGAATGCTAATAGCTGCCACAGCTGGGCAAATGGGGTGGAGGGAGGTTAGCACAGGATTTAAAATCATAACTTTTACATTTAATGCTGGTGATATTAATAAAACAAAACCCATTAAAGATAGGACATTCCTAAAGTTAAGGAACTTATTGCATTACTAACTGGGCTATTATGCATGCACATCCTGTTATTTCAATAACATAATTAACAAGAGAAACAGAAATGTATAGTACCACCTGCAGTATGTGCAAGGCAGACAAGACAACATTGTGTCAAAGTCCCAGGAGGCGCAGGGAGGGATTGGAAATGTCTGACTTGTGCATGCTAGACTTGTAAAACGTAGTGTTGTGTTGATGCCTAAACTTTCAATTAATTTTCTTGGCTTACTCATAAGGCTCCTAGGCACTGTGATAACACCAATAATAAATAAATAAAAGCGTGCCATTGACGGACTGATACTGGCATGGCTTTAACTGAAACGCTTTTTATTGCTGGGTCCTCCCTGTAAGCACAACACAACCAACTTGTGCCTGACTTTAAAAAGACATAGCTGATGTCCACGCCTGAATGGGATCTACAAAACAAGCCAAGTTTTATGCCTGCAGCTTCAGCAATGGTGAAGTGAGCGCCCAATGGCCGGACAGGGCTTTCCTGCGCACAAGAGAAACCGTATCAATGCAAAATGGCTGAAGGTATTTGACTGGGCTCAGACCAAAGGCAGGAATCTTCAGCCCCAAAGGGAAAAGGGTGGGAAAGCCCCAGGCAGCCGAGGGTTTGGGGACGGGGGCGCCTGCTGTACAGTAAACGCACCGTAGGGTGTTCCTAGCCTAGACCAGGACTTGTTCGTAATACCAGAACTGCCAATAAAGTTGGGATATTTTGAATGGGCCCTTCGGGCGGAGGTTTAGGTGGCTAGGTCAGTGCCTGAATAGAATTCCAGAGCGGCTCTTCGGGCTGATTTCCATCGTTCTGGCGGCGCGCCTCGGTTCGCTTGGCGAGAGCTGCCGGAGGCGCTGGGCCATGCGGGGCCGCGCGGGGAGCTTTGCGGACCCTCGCCTCAAGCAGCGAATCAAGCAGGTGCCGATCCCGCCCCCGCCCCCTACTTGCTCCTGCCTCGCTGTGGCCCGTCCCCAGCCCCGGGAAGTCAAGTCACGCGCCCCCCGCCCGCGCGCTCCTCCAGGGCCATCGAGGGCAGGGGCGGCTCCAGGCACCAGCGCACCAAGCCGTGCCTTTGGCGGCAAGCCGTGGGGGGTGGCCTGCCGGTCGCTGTGGGGGCAGCAGTCAGGGAGCCTTTCGGCGGCATGCTTGCGGGCGGTCTGACGGTCCAGCGGATTCAGCGGCAATTCAGCGGCGGGTACACTGAAGCTGTGGGACCGGCAGATCACCCGCAGGCATACCGCCGAATCTGTGTTACCAGTGGACCTCCTGCAGGTGCGCCGCCAAAAGCCACCTGACTGCCGTGCTGGGGGCGGCAAAATACATAGAGCTGCCCCTGATCGAGGGGTTGCCTTACATGCAACCAGGGGTGCCCGCAGCGCAGCCCTGCATCGCCCCGCAATACAGACCCATCACCCGGCTCTCTGCAGGCCTTAGGCCTGGGGGAGGGGAGCGGCCGTTTCATTTGTCAGGGCCAATGCCAGCACCACGCGCTGTGTGTGTCTGTAAAACACGCTGGGCGCGGTCCTTGGGCTCCCCGCAAGTTATCATCTTGTTCCAGGGGTCACACCACCTGGGCACCCCCCTGTCAGAGGGAGCTGAGATCCCACAATAGTGGATGCCTTTAGAAAACCGAGACAGGGAGCTATTGATTTGGGGATGAGGGGGGCAGTGATTTTACTCAAGCCCTCTCGAGTTGGTGGTCCATATGAGGGTGTGATTATTGTGAAAATAGCCCAGACTAAAAGCCAGGTATAAAAGCTGGTGTAATGTTCTAGCATTTGAGTCACATACTTTCTGTGACACTCCCCTAAGTGACTTGCAAAGATAAATTTATCTTCACAACACACCTATTAGGTATTAAATTATGATCTGCCTTTTGCAGATGGAGGACTGAGACACACAGAAATGAGGTTGCACAGAAAGTTTAGTGGGGGCAGAAATAGAACCCATGATTTCCATTTCCAAGTTCAATCCCTTGGCCGTAGGACCATCTTTCTCCTATTGCAGTTGCAATGATACTCAGACCTCCTAGCTTCAGCAACCAAATTAGCCATCAGCATTACCCAAAAGAGCCACAGTAGTGTGAATTCATTGTTTCATTTACTATAGTACTAATCATATTTAGTTTTTAGTTTCACAGCAAATAAGTTAATAACTTAATTGGTTTATAAGACAGTAAAAGCATCCTGATTGCTTAGTGACTTAAACTGTGCTTCCAAATATGTCTCCTGCATCTCTTTGCAGCACATATGTGTGATTTAATTATTAACCAATCTGAGTATCACTGTTCTATCGATGGAAGTTTATGGAGTTGCCCCAATTAATGCCAATAGTTAGTTTGGCCTCCAAATATAATGTACTACTTTTCCCCGTAAATGTGGCCAGTTGGCTCTGTAAATAGTTAATAGCTTCCTGTCAAATTATTTATCAATCTGATAACTTTGTACCAAAACAAATTCAAGCTGTTTAGATTTTTCAGTTTAAATTTTCTCTTTTATGATGATAACTTGTGAAGGTCAATAACTTCAGCAAAAGGCTAAGATTTTGTTCATTTCTATAAACTGCATTTCAGTACCTAAGCAGTAATAAATGTGGCCGATATGTGGACATTGGAATTTTAGCAGCTGATTTACAGAAAACTTACAGGTGAGCAAAAAGCTTAATCCTTGCATTCTGGTTTTTTTAAATAAACAATAGAAATAGTCATATGTATTTGCATATCTGTTTGTAAAAATGTAAATGTATTTCTCATGACAGTTCTGAATTACACTTTTATTATAAACTAGGATTGAAAGTTGCTTAGTACATCACTGATCAGGGAAGAAGTACAGTCAAAATAATTGTTTTCACTGCAAGATTCTCTTTGGCTGATATATCTAGTAACTTATTTATATTGCAGTAGCACAGAGAATTATAGAAATGTAGGGCACAAGAGACCTCGAGTGGTCATCTTGTGCTGAGGCAGGACCAACTATACCTACATCATCCCTGACAGTTGTTTGTCTAACCTGTTCTTAAAAACCTCCATTGACAGGATTCCACAACATCCCATGGTAACCTATTCCAGTACTTAACTATCCTTATAGTTAGAAAGATCTTCCTTATAACTAATCTAAATCTCCCTTGCTGCAGATTAAACAGATGATCTTGTCCTGATACCTTCAATGGGCATGGAGTATAATTTATCACCATCTTCTTTAAAACAGCCCTTAATATATTTGAATGCTGAGGGAGTACCTGATAAGTTGTCTTTTCTTGAAACTATATATGCCCATTTTTTTAACCTTTCCTCATAGGTTATGTTTTCTAGACCTTTTATCACTTTTATTGCTCTCCTCTGGACGCTCTCCAATCTTTACGAAAGTATGATGCCCATAACTGAACACAATATTCAACCTGAGGCCTCACCAGTGCCTAGTAGAGCAGAACAATTACTTCCTGTGGCTTAAGTACAACTAGGGTGACCAGACGTCCCAGTATTGTCAGGATAGTCCTGATATTAGGGGCTTTGTCTTATGTAGGACCCTATTATCCCCCCATCTCTCTGTCCCGATTATTCATACTTGCTATCTTGCTATGTTGTACCTGCGTACAGCACTCCTGTTAATACACCCCAAAAGGATAATTGCCTTTTTTGCAATTACATCATATTGTTGGCATGTACGAGCCACTGACTACGAGCCATTGTGTCAGGTGCTGTATGAACACCTAACAGAAAGATAGTTCTTGCACTGAAAAGCTGACCATTGAAGATTGACAAGAGACAACAGGTGGAGACAGACAGGGAGCACAAGGAAACAATTAGATGGTGCTGATGTTAATCTATCAGTTGCCTAACTTTTCTAGATTTTTTTATGCATCACAACAAAGAGAATTTTAAGGCAGAATTTGAAAGAGGGCAAGGAGGTTGCTTTGTCCGTGTTTGTAGCCTCTGTTTATTGGGAGGATGTTTAATTTGTGGTCTGTTAGTGGAAGGGAATTCAGCCATTTGCTCATGAAGTTGGGAGAGCACGTTCATTGCTAATGGTGAAAGGGGCTGAATTTTTCATTATCATGCCTAAAAGGAAAAATAATCCTATAGCTGAAGGACCCATCCTTGTCCAGTCCCTAGCTCTGTATGTGTGGTTTAAAACAAACAAGACTATTCTGAATGAAAATCCACTTGGCTGACTCTTCTTTTATATTGCCATTCAGTGCTCTACATATCCAGCCAATGATGCTGGTCATAATCTCCACTAAATGTCCTTCTGAAGACCACTAGCTAGAGACCACTGTGATTCACTTTGCACCTTTTATCCCAGAAATCGAGTTTAGTATGATGCCATTTGAGTTACACCTAATCCTTTTTAAAAGCCTGGAATAGCTCGAACCAAAGTCACTCTTCCACATAACTGGTTCCAGGGTGTACTTGTGTAAAAGATTGTGGATTGTATCACTTTAGAAACTTGTATATACATTGAGAATGACAATACATGAAAGAAGGCCTCAGTGAGATCCTAACCTGTACAATTGTTTTACAGTGCAGAATATGGACGAAGAAAAAGAAATGCCTTTAGAATTCAGGTTGAGAAAGGTAAGTCTGTTAATATCAGGACTGAAATACCAAGAAGCTGTAAGAAGCTCTCTGAATTACTGATGACACTGTTGTTGAGCACTTGCTGCCATCCATGTTCTTCTGGGTTTTTTTCAGTGTTTGGTATAATCAGTAATGAGAGAGAATTTGAAGATTTAACAACTTTAGAGAATGAACATGTGGCAAAAAGAGCAAGACACAGACGAGAAGGCAATGAGTAAGTGGAAAGACTTGTTGCCTTAAGCCTACTTTAACAATGATGTCAGTACTTAACATTTCCATAGTGCTTTGTATCTTTAAAAAACTCTATATTACTATGAAGGGCCTGATCCTGCAAGCTGTTCCACACAGGCGGGCCCTGGTGCCCTCATAAGTCTTGTCTTTGCTGGGAAAAAAATAAAAAGGGCCGGGGGGAGTTCTTACCTCAAGGTACATTCTAGTGAACCAGGCCCATAGACTTGAACTCAACCTGGTAACTCACATAAAAATTACAACTATCTTTTCACTGGGATTAACTCAAGTTAATGAATTAAAGAACACTTTGTGTCTGTGGTGGTGGTGGGGGGAGACCGCGGGTGAAGACCAGGATTCACCTTCCTCGTGGGTAGGGCAGCTTATAGAATTGGGGCCTGTCTATTAAATCCTTACAACTCCTCTTTGTCACAGAGGTGTTATCGCTATTTTAGACATGGATAGGGTGACCAGATGTCCCGATTTTATAGGGAGTGTCCCGATAATTTGGGGCTTTTTTTTATATAGGCTCCTATTACCCCCCATCCCGATTTTTCACACTTGCTGTTGGTCACCCTAGACATGGGAAAACTGAGATGGAGGGTTTCAGTGAATTTTCCAAGTGCACACAGCCAGTTAGTGTTTGTTAGAGGGGACATTAGAATTTGGATTTCCTGGCTCCCAATCCTGTGCACAGTCTACTAGAGCATTCTGCCTCCTTAAATGTGATAGAGACTACTTTGTATTAAATATTGAAAATATGCCTCCCTTTTTATTAGTGCTAAAATATTTTCTCTTACAGTTAGAGTGACAGTAATAGCCATTCGTATCAGTGTTTTTAAGACAGGGTATGTTTAATTCAGAACAAAATACCCAGATTTTCTGAATTTCAGTAATCAAACCTCTAACCGCTTTAAAAACAACAGTCTGTTGGCTTTTTATTAAACCTACTAAATATTAACATTTTCCTGTGCAAGCAGATATCTGTAATGATAGTCCAGAGGACGAGCATTGGCAGGGAGAGATACAATGACTGCTGTCTTGAAATTCTAATTTCTATGATTAACAGCACAGGGATAATCTGGGCTCATTTAGGTCTGGACTCATCAAGGGGAGGCAGCCTAGAGTATAGCTTTTGGACAGATTCAATCACGTGTTTGAGTATGGCTAAAGAAGTCAGAGAAACGTCTTAATTTTATAGTAACCATATATACATATGTATAATGCACTGCTTAATCTGCCTGACTTTCCACAATGTGTATGTGTATTGCGGCTCTTGAACGAATGGATTGACACTGGCATTAGCTGTTCTGAGTGTGATCATGTACCTTCTAGAGGCTACAGCCTGCTTAAGCCTTATTACTGCCACACAAACATGAATATTTCATGTCTTATCTCAGTCGCTGTAAATATGTACTGAGGTGTGTTACTGAAGTTCTAAAGTATTTTTTTAATGAAGACAGATTCAGCAGTTAATTTGTTACCTATTAGTCAAAAGCAGGCTAATCATAGAGAATATCTTTTTATTTGTTAAAATTACAAAACAGCCTCTCCTCCTTGTCCCCTTGAGGTATTCTGCTCATGATTCCAACCTTTTTATCTTTGGTTTGAATTCTAGCCCCAGAATTTTAAAATAAATACAGCTTTAGTTCCTCAAAGGCCTCCAGCCACACAAACTGAGTGAGCTGTTCCAGCAGGCTTTGAAGTCTGATTTCAGGACTACCAGAATAGCTTCATCTACTATAGAGAGCCCAGCTGGTGGTGGAAGCGCTGAGGAGAGAAGGTTTTCCTACTTCCACAACCAGACTTAGATTGCGGGGATGGGGGAGAGGGCCATCAGAAGAGTTGTTCTATCTCTACCCTCTGTCCCACACATAGTAGTATTGTAGTCTTAGCACGGAGAGCCTAGCATCTTCCTAGGAGAGAATACTTGTTCTATTAGTTGTGCTGATGTCTCATTGTGCTGTTATGGTATGTTGAACCCATAATTTCTGCCTCTTCACTTTTTTCTGCTAAAGGGATGTGGAAAGCTACACAGACGACTCAGATGATGATGATTACTCAGAACCTCTAGTAAGTCCATATTTCATTCTCGATGGTATAATGCAATCGAAATGAACACAGCAGTGCACATATGAAATATATCAATGCTCTTTACTTAAAATATACAAGAGTTTTAAAACAGAGCTGTGTATACACCATCTGGTAAAGGCCCACACTTTGGTTTAGAATTCATATAATTCTTTATGGTGAGACTTGTTTTTTTAAAATATATGTTCCAGTGCTAGTAGTGTTTTTAAAAGTCAGCATCCTGGAAGTTGTACCAGCCACAGTATCTCTGACCAGCTATTCCCCTTCCATTCTGGCTGCCCAAGGTGCTCCTCGGTTGCCAAACTGCTAATGGCTTGGCTGATGCCCTCATTCTGACAATCTCAGGTGGCTTGTCCGAATGAGCACATCAGCCAGCAGTCCCCAGCTGGAGACCTTGTAGAGTCGAAAGGAGATTATTTCCTGTGGAAGAATGAGGCAGGACTGTGGCTGGGGGCCATTTCTGAGGAAGGGGAACATAGCAAAGGCGGGGGGAGAGGGCAGAGTAAAGACTTTACTATCTACTACTAAGGCTGTTTGCTTGCTGAGGGAGATATCTGCAAGCAATTTTTTTTGTTTTATTTTAAATACATAAACTTTGCAGTCCACAAATCACCTGAACAGCTCTCTGCTGACCTTATACCGGAAAGGAGATCCTGATTCTCTTCCAGCAACTCCGAAGAATGAGCTGACAGAAACCAGTACCCCTGCACAAGTGACAGCACCCAGAACTAGTGCTCTTCCATCTGGCACCCCACTTGATACTAGGATCTCTGAAGGTGGATGGTTTATTGATAAAACCCCAGGTAGAAAAGAAGACAACTTCTTAATTGACCTGAGTGAGGAAGAAGAGGAAAGGAAACAGATATCTGAGGTAGCTTCTCTTTTAAATCTGATACCATTTAATAAGGCATATACATTGGGGGTTAGTACATTTCTTACTTTATGTGACAGTACTTTGAAGTACAGTATGAAGAACAGACTTGTTCTTCCTCATGCCCCCAAGATGCACATTGTATATAAAAACAAGTTTGAGCCTTTGGTGGGCAATGCAAACCTGTTTTTTTAATACACCTACAATGTTTCAACATAGAGGTTGCTGCATTCGTGGATGAAGCAGTGTTTGGATCTTAATTTTTGTGAAGCGCTCTGTAAATGTAAGATGTTATGATGAAAGACTGGCTTAGTTGTTTGGTGCCATCTTTTTTCAAAAAGTATTGTAGCTGCCAAAAATGTTCTGGTGCAAACAACATTTGATTATATGTTCTTATGCAAGACAAATTTGTACTGTATCAAAGGCTTTTAAAAAAACGCCTTCTTTATGTTTGAGATGCTCAAGATTAAAAGACTGGAAATCTAGTTAATTTTAAAAAATTAGTCAAAAATAGTTTCAGGAACCACACCTGACCAAGTTACCCTGCCCATTTTTGTGGTTTTACAATCACATTTTCTTAATTTTTTTTTAATGGCTTCTCCTGTTGCTGTGTGCAAATCCCACGCAAACAGGGGAGACTGACAGACAGGGGAAACAGTGCAAAGTGCTGTCCAGAACCATAAGCCACTGGGTATTTCTATTGCTGAGGCAGAGAGGTAAGTTTTGCTGGAGCTTAACCTGTGCAACAGCTCCTTGCCACACCTCTCTGTCCACCTCACCAGCAAACTCCATGAGGCTCTGCCAGGTAGGTAACATTCAGTGAACCCCAGTTCCTGAGTTCCCCAGAGATATCTCTTTGTCCAATGAGAGGGGCTGGATACTACAGTCACAGAAATTACCAAGTTCACTGCCTCCAAAGAGACAGGGTACATGCCAGCCTGTTAGTCTAGCTCAGTAGTTCTCAAACTTTTGTACTGGTGACCCCTTTCACATAGCAAGCCTCTGTGTGCAACCCTCTTTTTAAATTAAAAACACTTCTTTACATATTTAACACCATTATAAATGCTGGAGGCAAAGTGGGGTTTGGGGTAGAGGCTGACAGCTCGCAGCCCCCGATGTAATAACCTTATGACCCGCTGAGGGGTCCCAACCCCCAGTTTGAGAACCCGTGGTCTAGCTGTCTTTAATACACAGCACTGATATGGGTTGTAGTAACACTAAACATAAGTTTATTGTTAAGGAACGTAGATTTAAGTGATACTAAGCAAGAAAAGAGACAGGTCTGGTTACAAACAAAAAAAACCCCCAACCTGCTTTCTAGTGACCAAACTTAACTTTGGCAAACTGCAATCATTGCCTGAACAGCTTTCTGACTTACATCAAGCTATCCGTGTCTCCAGCCCCTCAGGCAGGTGGATCCCCTATTCACCGAATCAGAGGATGCTAATCCTTTTTCCCTATTCTTCCCTTTTATAGCACAGAATACTTTTTAAATGAACCCCTTGAAAAGTAAACCCAGACAAATCTCTCCACTACTGCTGGTTCTTTAGGTGCAGGCACTAAGTCACTTAATCCTCTGATCAATTTGTTTTCTCAGTTGGCTCTATCACTTTGTTTAACTCCGGTACAAATGTACTTTAATTGCCCTTTGTTTGTAATAAAACTATACTGTTTTTCAGTCAGCCTGTTAGCTTGAACCGTGCAGACAGGGAAATTTACGTTCCTTTGTGGAAATCCACATGCCTCCAAAACTTATTTGAAGAGCATATTTCTAGCACATATGCATAACTCTTTATATACAACCTGTACATACATCACTCGATGTTCATGTTACTAGATATTATAGAATACCTGACAAGATGCTGTTTGGCTAAATATTATGACACGTGTGTTGAGTAGGCCTTTTGTCAGTTGACGTGAAGAGGCCCTTAGGGCCACAATGTACAAAGTAAACAAGCTGAAAAGAGAAATATATATATTTCTTTGATGTCTTTATTTTAGTTATAATAATTTTAGGTGTTCTTTAACAAAAGTCAGCAAAATGCCTTCAGGCAGAAATGTGATTACATTGACCCTTTAAGGCAATGTATTCTCAGTGTATCTAAAAATATCCTTATGGTGACATTGCGACCCCAGAGCCAGTTTTTAAGGATGGAAAGTGTTCAAAAACAGAACCAGGGGATTTTCATTTTGGGGACATACAGGAGTTTGGGAATTAAGAGATGCCCCAGAACCTCTTTGTCCTTGTTCAGTGGATAAAAGGCATATCGTGGAGTTGATGTTTTTCTTCTCTAGTGGACAAGGCATATCATATAGGACTAAAATGGGGTAGCTGGGGGATCATTGTGGAATAAAATGTCCATCAAATTGTGTTGAAAACAAAACATGATGTTAACAAGATGCACAATCTCATCTGTCCATTCTCTCACTTGTATTTTTCTTGCATATACAGCGATGACCCAAGTTATTTGCACAATATTCACTACAATATTGGTGGTGATTAGTATTTGTATTACCATAGCACCTAGAAGCCCTACTTATGAACCAGGATCACACTGTGCTAAGTGCTGTACAAACATAGTGTGTTACTGGTAATTAACATTGTTTCTAATGGAGGTTTTTTATATATACACACGCACACGCACAGCTGTATTAAGACACAATGTTTGTTGCTTTACAGTAATTATGCAATTCAGGGCTTGTCTGCATGGGAAAATTGTCCAGAATAGCTACTGCAGAATAAACTATACTGGAATATCTACTCCAGAATAGTAACCCCCATGGATGCTCTTATTCGAGAATAAGGGTGTCCACACAGAGAGTTATATTGGAATCACTATTGTGCTTTAAATTCACAGCCTACCTTATTCCGGACTAACGTTCCTGTGTAGATGAGCCCTAACTTAAATCAGCTTTTTATTCTTAGATCTTTTTCTAGCTTATATATACAATTTTTTTCTGGAACTTTAGTCCCCCCCCCCCCACCCCACCCCCCAAAAAGACAGATCAATGTGAACAATCCTTAGTAAAAACCAAGTAATGAAAGGATTTAGACACAGAAAGGATTGATCATACCTTGTCTCTTACCACTCTCATAATATCTATATATCTATGCATGAAGCACCATATGTGTCTTCAGATTTTGTTTGTTCTGCTCTTTCAGGTGTCGGTAGAAAAGCTCAGTCATTTATGTACTAAATATTTGAAGACTCAGTCATATCATTCTGTGTTTTATGCTCTAGAAATCAAAAGATCTTTCTTTTTTGGAGAGTGAAGGAAAGAAGACAAAGAGTAAGAGACGAAAAAGAAGGAAAGAGGAATCTCAAGATGTAGATGAAGAAATAGAATCTGTTTTGCGTAAGCAGAAAGGTGAGAGCTACTATTTCTGAATTGGCTTACCGGATATGTGGGTGGTTGATAGCTGAAGCAGTTGGGATCAGAGATATTCTGCACTTCTGAAATGTTGACTTTTCGGCTGGAGCCTTTCAGGAAGACATTCATCCTTCATGTTGTGCTAGAAAATAGTCCAGTCCTGTGACCGTTGCATAAGAAATACTTTGTTCTATCTAATCTTTTACCTGTGGGTTCAGATCAGTGTCTGTCTTGTTGGGGTTTGCAGCCACTGGCTTCTGCTGTGTCCAAATTCTAATGACTTCATTTATTCCCTTCCTTTTTTCTTCTTGTAGTTAAAACTAAAGGACCAGAGCTGCAGTTCCCTTTAGTGAAATTTGACGATGTGGGAGGCAGTGATGAAACTCTGAAGGTTAGTTTTACTTAAATCCTTGCTGTGTTACTTATGGGATAGAGAACACAGTGAATAAAACTACATATATACAAAATGAGGGAGCTGGAGCCCAAGCAGGACTGATTTGCATAGCAACTCAGCAAATCATTGGCAACATAAGAAGCTGTCTCTCACTGATTGAAGAGGGCAGCAAGACTAGCTATAGATCTTAACCCCGAACTGACCTCTCTAATATCAGTCACTGAAATAAGTGAGACACAAGTTATCCTTCTATGCATTTTAGTGTTTATATTATTTTCCTCTATCTACTCTATTTTTATCTTCTTTCTAACAGGAGGTATGCAAGATGCTGATACACGTGCGTCACCCTGAAGTATACAATCACTTAGGCGTGGTCCCACCTCGAGGATTTCTTTTACATGGACCACCAGGGTGTGGAAAGACATTACTAGCACAGGCAATTGCTGGGGTGAGACTGTCTTCATATGTGCTTTCCCTTCCTCCTGTCTGCTCTTTTAATCAGACTTAAGATAGGGAGAGGGCAGATAGATTAGAATGTTCTCCTCTTTGCTTTTATCTATCTTGCCTCTTCCCATCTCATCTCAAAATAAACATCCATTAGAATTTAAATAACAGAAATGCAGTCTGAATCAGGAGTATTCCTTGATAGATCCTCATGCAGGGGAAAAATATTGCATTAAAAGCTCAGTTTCTTCTTGCAAGCACTCACAAGGAATGGACTTTCAACAGGCCATGTATTAGATTAAAGTTTGATCTGTTTACAGTAGAAAAGTTTTCAGCCTGGATATTTTTGAAAAAGGGGGTGAAATCTGTTTTGGATTGTGACATGGCTTACTCCATGGGGAGGTAATCCTTTGACATTAAACTTGGAAGTTACCATACAACAACTGTTCGGCCTCTGTCAAATAAGGTGATGGTCTGTCCTCATCAAACAGCCACCTCTACAAGTGGCATCCTTATAGCTCAGGGGTGGGCAAACTTTTTGGCCTGAGGCCCACATCTGGGTATGGAAATTGTATGGCGGGCCATGAATGCTCATGAAATTGGGGGTTGGGGTGTGGCTGGGGATGCGGGCTCTGGGGGGAGGCCAGAAATGAGGAGTTCAGGGTATGGGAGAGGGCTCTGGGCTGGGACAGGGAGGTTGGGGTATGAGGGGGTGAGGGCTCAGGGGTGGGGCTGGGGAGGAGGGGTTTGGGTTGCGGGATGGGGCTCTGGGCTGGGACAGAGGGTTGGGGTATGGGGGGGGGTAAGGGCTCCAGCTGGGGGTGCAGGCTCTGGGGTGGGGCTGTGGATGAGGGGTTTGGAGTGCAGAAAGGTGCTCTGGGCTGGGACTGAGGGGTTCGGAGGGTGGGTGGGGGATCAGGACTGGGGCAGGGGGTTGGGGCGCGGGAGGAGGTCATGGGTGCAGGCTCCCGGCAGTGCTTACCTCAAGCGGCTCCCAGAAGCAGTGGCATGCCCCGGCTCCTACGCAGAGGCGTGGCCAGATGGCTCTGCGTGCTGCTCCGTCCGCAGGCGCTGCCCCTGCAGCTCCCATTGGCCGCAGTTCCCAGCCAATGGGAGCTGCTTGGGGCAGGAGCAGCATGTGGAACCCCCGGGCTGCCTCTACACGTAGGAGCCAGAGTGGGGACATGCTGCCTCCCAGAGCCATGGCACGCGTGGAGCGGGGCAAGTCGCCGTCCCCACTGGAGCGCCGGAGTGGGGTAAGCCCCAGAGCCTGCTCCCCGGCGGGATCTCAAGGGCCGGATTAAAACGTCTGATGGGCTGGATGCGGGCCATAGTTTTCCCACCCCTGTTATAGCTGGTGTCATCAGAGATGTCCGGGATTGTTACTGCATTTTAGTCATGAGAATAAACTACTTTCTACTTGTACAGGGTACCTACAATTCAGGGTAGAGACCGCTTATGGCACTATGGAGCAGTTGCACTATCACTGTCTTTGTACCTGTTCTGGGGATAAATGGAGGACTTGTATGGCCGGGCTTGTCAATACAGTATCTCTTTTTTGTTTTTTATTGCTGTATTCACTTAAATGGCCGTAGGTTATATAGTTTGGAAATTATACATAAATTATGAACTGTTGGAACACAGCTTTTTTTTTTCAAAATGAAAACTTGCAGGCTTTTATTGCATAAAGTTGATAGAATCTCTTGGAATTAAATCTTGGGTATTTTTATCCTACACAGACATGTACTTCACTGAAAGCTGGGGTGTAAATCTATCACATGCTTATCTGTCGTGCACTATGTGTTGGTGTGGACCCTGCTGATGCACACTAACAGTTCCTTTGTGTGCTTTGATGTACTCCCATTTCAAAACACACTAAGGAACTGTTAGGTTGCACGTGGACATTTAGGGCTCAGCATGCTAGTGTGGGTTTGATTACTCTCAAGTTTACCATGAACTAAATGTTCATGTTGACAAGCCCTCTGTTAGTTTGTCACTGAAATCAGTATTCCTCATAGATCAGACATCAGTGTATAGACTAAGTGTTTTGTAATCAGTGGCAATGCTATTAAGCTGTTAAAGTGGGAGCCAGGAGACCTGGATTCTGTTCCCAGCTCTGTTCATTTGGTTAAGTGCCTCCGATCACTTAGATGTAGGGGTGTTGCATGTGGTTTCTAAAGCACTTTAAAAACTTCTCTTGGAAGGCTCCTTAAAAATGTAAAGTACTGTGATAACATAAATTATATAAATACTGGTTCTAGGGGACTTAGTCAAAGAAAATCCTGCTAAGAGGAAATGTTTTTGAAGTTTAGCGATTTCATAACCATCTTCTTTACATTTATTGTAGGAACTTGAACTGCCACTGCTCAAAGTAGCTGCTACTGAAATTGTATCGGGAGTCTCTGGGGAGTCTGAACAGAAGCTGCGAGAGTTGTTTGAACAAGCTGTGGTGAGGCCAGGGAGCTGAGCTAATAAATTGCTTGATCCTTTCTCTTCATAAAACCTTTTAATGGTCCCTTTCTGCTGCTGCAATTTGAAATTAAGATTGAATTATTTGTAGTACTGTAGAGCCTAGGATCCTCAGTCATGGACTGGGACCCCATTGTACTAGGTGCTGTACAAACCCAGAACAAAAAGACAATCCCTGCCCGTAAAGAGCCTGTAATGTAAATATAAATTATAATACAATTATTAATGTATAGTCACTCTGTTAGGCAATTCACTACATAAAATACTTGGCTTTTGTATATACTGGAGTAATTACTACTCTGTGTTACTTAAGAAGTTGACCTCTTCATTAAGTCTGTGAATTTGGATACATTAGTGGTATTAGTACGAAAGAAGAAATTGCAGGCAAAGATCTAGGAATCCAAGAAAAAAATGTTAGAATTAAATTTTCCCATATCTGCACAGTCTTAAATACACAAGAACACCACTGGGTTACTGGCTGAAATCCAGCCCAGGTTGGTGATGACCAAACACTGTGAGAGTATTTTGGTCTAAGTCTAGTTCTTCATGAGAAGCAAAGAAAAGCAGAAGGGGTTGAGGGTGGTATGCTACTTATTAAAAATCACTTTTAAGTAAATCTCTGTATAATTCCCTAGAGAGTCCTCCATATCTGCCTTTTGACAATGCTTGCTTTTCCATTTCCATTCCCTACCATCACCACTATTTTGAGGCCTCTCAACATATTTACCAGTCTTCTTCATGGGTTTCAGAGGAAGCAAGGATTGTGGAGTCCTGGTAGTTTCTGTCCCAATATGAACCTGAGCTGCTGTTTTGAATTTAAAAAGCCATTATTACAAACAATAAGGAAACGAGAACCAAAATCATGATATGAAATAGATAATGTGGTTTTTTTTTTTTAATATTCTTTGCATTTAAAATGGTCTGGCATCAAAATTAACTTAAGTGGCATTTATTGCATGAAGCATGTTTCAATTAAAAAAAAAAATCTTTTTTTTTTTATCTTAGCCACTTACATTTGTTATCTTAAATTGCTTTTTCAGTGACTCTTGGGTCTCATGAACAAAAAACTTTTTTATTCTAGCATGTGCCATATGTCTGGTACTATAATCCCTACATAGCAAAATTATGCTCTTTCTGTAGCAAACGTGCTGCTAAACTCAGAGAAATAATGCTCGAGCAGCTAGGTGGCGCACATGCTGCACTGGCTTGACAGCTTTGGGGGTGTGCTTTTAAACTCTGCCTTTCTAGATTGAGGCGTTGGCAGATCTGAATGGAGAAGCTTCTCTGTGTTTGCCTGTAGCATACTTTTTTTAAGGATTAGTTAATGTTTAAATACACTGGTGAATCAAAGTGCCAGGTAAGTGCTACTTTTTATTAGTTTTGTCCTTTTATGAATATGGAGTTCATTACATGAAATGTTATGGAAATCTATAATGATTTATGCACTCCTTGCTTTAGCTCCTTGAACATGATCTGACTTTTCTAGTAATCTGATTTGGCAAATAGTTTCCATTATTGCCCACGCCTGCCCCTTGTCAATTGTATGGTTGCATGGTATTAGGTCTCCAGATTCTACAGCATTAGTGACTTCTTGCCAAACAAAAATGTAAATGCCTCAACTTCTGTTTTGGGCTTAAATATTTTCAAATCAGCAAAAATCACGACAATGTAGTGTCTGTAGAAGACACAAAGCAACATAAAATATATTTTTAAAAAATCTCATGCTTTAGTTTCCTGATGATCTCAGCCCTATGCACGGTTCCATAGTGTACTTGGCTTCTCTAAGAGAATGAAGAGAGCGGTGTTTGGGGGCGGGGGTGCTGGGGTTTGAGACTGGGTGGTTGTTCAGAGGACCTGACAGCACTTGCCGTAATATATCTTTTAAGCATTGAAATGGGAGAATCACCTTTCTTAAATTATTACTTCTTATATGCTATGTGTATCGAGAGTGATTATGTGGTCTTCTTGTTCCTAGTCCAATGCACCATGCATCCTTTTCATAGATGAGATTGATGCAATCACCCCAAAAAGAGAAGTTGCCTCGAAAGACATGGAGCGGAGAATTGTCGCCCAGCTTCTAACCTGTATGGATGGTCAGTTTCAGCAATGAAATTAACATACTTTATTTTTTAAATTAACCTCCCTCCTCTTTTGAAGTCCAATTTTGGTTTTATTTTAACTTGTTTAAAATTAGACTTAAATTGAGCTCTGAATAGTTGTGGTAGCTGAAGATCCCAAAGTATTTTTGCAGAAGCGGGGGATATTAATACCAATTCCCTGTTTAAAATCCTTTCCATATAACTTATTTCTGCCTTATTAGATTTTTCCCTCGCGATCCAGTGTGGCACTCTTCACTTTTTCTGGATATCGTGGTATTAACTTCCTGTCCTATGTTGCAGTGTCATTATGCACCATTACCAGTTGCTGCATTTCATCCTAAATGTGGCTTCTTTTGAGTGTGAAGAGAAAATATTCCTGAATGTTGTCATTTACAGATCAGTTTATACAGCACCCTTGAAACCCTTTCAGTGCTATGTAAACATATATGTTGGAAAAGTGCTATGTAAATGTTGTTTCAAATGCCTAAGATTGTATAAAGAACAAACTATGTTGCTAGTGGAAATAAAGATAAGTGCCTAGAAATGTTCATGGTTAAAAGAGAAGTAGCTTCAGTAAATGGTTTCCCAACTATGACCAAGAATAAATATGTTCTTGCAGCATGTGTTTAAGAAGAGTAGCATTAACAGTGATGTTCCAATAGGAAGATATAGCTCTTTTCTGAGTACTTGTTTATTGCCTTCCATCCTCAGACCTGAATAATCTGGCTGCCACTGCTCAGGTCCTAGTCATTGGAGCTACTAACAGACCAGACTCGTTGGACCCAGCATTGAGGCGCGCTGGAAGATTTGATCGAGAAATTTGTCTAGGGATTCCTGATGAAGCAGCTAGAGAGAGGTATATCTTAGTAGGCCAAGGCTTCTGATTAGTAAAACTGTTGCAAATTAGTGGACAGTTAAGGACATATGTATAGCACGCATAACCACATGCACCCAATCAGCCTGCAAGGGTAAGTGGAGAAGGGGTAACAGTGTGTATATCTCTATGCTATCTGTCCAATCCACGGCTGTTCCGTGTGGATGCATGTATAAATCTCCTCTTAACATTGCATTAACAAGTGTTCTGGGCAACTTTAAGAAGAGAATATACCCTGGAGTTGGCAATATGTATTTTGTTGTTCAGTATTCTGTCCTTGAATCTCCTTATTCACCTGTCATGGCTACAGGGCACAACGACACCTTAGATTCTTTTTAGTACCTCTTGAGTAGACCCCAGAGGTGACAGGCTTGACTTCTTGCACCTAACTCTGAGTGGAACCACGTGGTTCAGCTATACTTAGAGTGGATCTCTAGGCTGCAGCTGCCCTGTTTCCTAACCATGTTACTGCAATAGGCCCAACTGCATTTGGCACCTATAAACCCTTTCGTTCTGGGGTCTTGTGACCAGTGAATTGATTAAAACAATTCAATTCAAAAACAGTGTATTCAAAACAAAGATTATTTATTAATTCCCCAAGGGTACAAAGCCAGTAGAGAAAAGAGTAAAAACAATGAAAGCCTGCCCTTGTGTCTTGCTTACAAATGCTGGTAAGGAAAGAGTAAGCTGAGCTAATCCTCATCTCTCGTTAGGAAAAACAAACTTGCAGTGTGCTCTTTCTGTGTCCCCTGGTCAGCCTGTCAGCTTTTGCTGACCCTCTCCACAGTCTCTGGCCACTCAACCAACACTTTTCTAAGTGTGAGGTCCTGTAATGGTTTATGTTCATTTTGATCTCTCTTCTTAGCTGTGGCAAAGCAGCTATGTTACCAGGGCTGAGGCAGAGGAGTTGCATCTTCGCTACTATAAATCTGACTATTGTGTTTAGGTATTTGGGATGCTTCTTATCTAGGCTATTTATTTTACCTTTTCCTTTTACAATCCCTTTTGACTCTATGGCAAATAACCCATCCTAAATAAACACACAGCGGTATGCACCATGTTCTTAAAAAATGGTAGATATTATGTAGTTTGTCATATCAACATTTTGATATTTCACAACTTGTGCCATTTCAAGGAGCAGGAATGGTGAATGTGAGTAGAATCTTCAGTAATCTTCCTCACATGTGAGAGCCATTGCTTGGACAAGAAAATCTTGATCATTGTTTTGAATAGTTGAAGCTGGGAGTCTAACAGCATTCCTCCATATTGTTGTTGTTTTCTGCAGTTCCTGCAGATGTGGGCCCACAGGAACTACCAATATTGCTGCATTTTTTGAAAGAATGGAAAAAATCAATCTTATGTATTGGTGTATGACAACAGGGTAACAGAATAAAGGAATAAGTTACAGGTGTTGTTAGGTTTCATTTAACATACAGTGAATCCATCAGATAGTAACCAGTTGAAACATTCCCTCTAAGTGGCTAGTGCTGTTTGTTTAGGCCCAGTTATTGGAAAATGTGTACACATCAGTTGTGCATGCAGGTTTTATTTGCTCATACACATCTTTGTGTAAATCTGAACTCGATTTGCATGCACATATTAGGCAGCTTTCATGCCCACTTCTAATCATACACTTATAAAAAATGTAACCTTTACTGTCAAGGAATATGCTTTTATTATCTTAAATGAAGGAATGATAGTGCTTAGATTACAGGCTGAGCCAGTCACTGCTACCTCTGTACCTTGAGTCACTTCCCCCACTTGTTGTCAAATGAGCCAAAAAATTGGAAGAAAATAAGGTGATGCTACTAAAAAAAATCCAAACTAAAGATACTGTACTTAATTTTGTCTGTTAGGTGGGTAAAGAAAAACATACTGAACTTTTAAAGGTAATAGTCATTTAATAAATTGTTCCATTCAAAGCTTTAGCACAGTGCTAGCAGCTTGGATAAATGATGTCCAGATCAAATGGTAGGTATTTTTTTAAATTTAGAAGGACACTTAAGTGGTGGATTTCATTTCTCTGGTTTATGATGCCTTTTAATATTTCCCACTGAAATAATACTTTGCTGTTTGTAAAAACTAGGTTAGCTCCCCTCTCCTAGATTTCTGTATTGCTTGAAGATAATATGGCTCTGTAAGGTTTGCATCTTTATTTGTCTTATTAGCATCCTTTGCAGTCCTCAGGTGGAAGGATTGTTGGGCCCTGGGGAGGAAATCCTTTAAGCTCTGACATGGAGAATGCTCTAGAAGAGATGAAAAGTATCTGTTCTAATATAAAATATTTTAATGGAAAAGGAAGAACATAATTGATGACATGATTTAAGTGGAATAATCTTGGATTAGCGAGTAAATTGTATTGCTTGGTAGAATTTACCAGCATCAGCCAGAGCAACATTCTAGAAATTCCTTACTATTGCTCTGTTCCTCTATCTGCCGTATCTTTTCTCTTGAACACTTTTATCCTCATTAGCTATATAGAAGTGTTTCAACCTGCTCCATACTTAAATTGTGCCTTTTTAAGGCTGGACCTTAAACTAGACCTGCCTGCTGATGTTCTGCAAAGAAAAATGGGGTTCTTGTAAAGAATTGAGCAGGTAAAATGTAAACAGATGTTGTCATATGCAGGAATGCGAACCAAGTAATTACTTGAATGGGTGATAACCCATTTGAGTTTTGGTGGAACCCACTTGGGACATCATCTGACAGTTTAAATCCAATGTTGGTTTGTTTGATTTAAAAAAAAAAACCCAAAAACTAACAAAACCTGTAGTTGATTATAATATGTGTTCAGCAAAACTCTTAACCTTTAAATGAGCATCACCTGGCTGATACTGTAGGTTTCTTTTAGTGTGAGTGTCAGGAGAAAACATAGAATAATTTT